GTTGGAGTTCCATCAATTGTAGTTTCTCCAGTCGAAACAGTTTCTCCGGTCGTTGGTATGGTTGTTGTGAATGTAGTTGGAGTTCCATCAATTGTAGTTTCTCCAGTCGAAACAATTACGTCGGTCGTTGGTATGGTTGCTATGAATGTAGTTGGAGTTCCACCAATTGTAGTTTCTACAGTCGAAACAGTTTCTCCGTTCGTCGGTTGACTAAAAGGTATAGTTGGCACAGTCGAGTAAATTGTTGTAGTTTGACCATTAATTGTAGTAACTATTGTATTTTCGCTAGGTACCGGTATTACTGGTACTATAGTGGTTATTAATACTGTTGTGGGTTGACCATTAATTGTGGTTGCCACTGGTACTGTCGTGGTTTGACCGCTTATTGTAGTTATTATTGTGCTTTCGCCACCATTAGGTCCTGGTACTATTATTGTTGTTGTTTCGCCAGGCGCAGGTATCGTACTAGCTGGTTGTGTGATGGGCACAGGTATTATCAGTGTTGTGGTTTCGCCATTAATTGTAGTTACTATTGTTTGTGTGCCACCGCCACCAATAGTTGTAGTTTGAATTTGTGTGATAGGTACCAATATCGTTGAAGGTTCTCCATTAACTGAAGTTACTAATGTTTCTGTGACAACTGTTTCAAATGTTCTTGTGACAGGCATAGGTACGGGTATTATCATCGTTGTTACTTCAGTGACAGTTGTTCCTCCGTCACCACCGCTACCCACAACTTTAGTGACAGTTGTTGCGCCACCCACAACTTTAGTGACAGTTGTTGCGCCACCCACAACTTTAGTGACAGTTGTTGCGTCACCCACAACTTTAGTGACAGTTGTTGCGTCACCCACAACTTTAGTGATTGTTGTTCCACCAATCGTTTTTGTGACAGTTGTTACGCCACCATCCCCGCCAGTCGAGATTATTATGGTTTTTGTGATAGTATGTCCGCCACATTCGCCACTAGTTGCTTTAGTTGCTTTAGTTGTTTTAGTTGTGCAAGGTTTTGTTGAATAAATAGTATGCTTAGATTTAGTATAAATTGGATGAATAGTTGGTACTTTGGAAGTACAAGTTGGATGAATAGTTGGGTGAATAGTTGGTTCTTTGGAAGTACAAGTTTCGCTATTATGATGATTGATAGTGGTACATTCCGATGTTGTTGTTGAACATTTCGAAGTTGTGGTCGATGTAGTACATTTTGATGTTGTTGGGATCGTCGTACATTTTGAAGTCTTCGTTGGGGTCGTTGTACATTTTGAAGTCGTGATCGATGTTGTACATTTTAAAGTTTTCTTGGTCGATGTTGTACATTTTGAAGTCGTTAATGTCGTAGTGCATTTTGTCGTGGTCGATGAGCATTCTTTACTAATTGAAGTCTTAATCTTATTATGCCTTTTATGCTTTTTATGCTCCTTATTAGATTCTAGTAGACTTCTTTTTTTTTGATAAGGGGCGCAATAGTTTTCTGTAGATATTTCTTTAGGAAGTAAATTTAATATTGTCCAGGTATTATTTGGGTGTAAAAGACGCAAATATATTGCAGGTTCACATATATCCGTAGTTTTTTGCTTAAGTCGTAATAAAATCGTGCCTTTATTGTAAGTATCTCCTTGAACTACTTTTAATCCCGGAATGTCCCCAGAAGGTCGATGAGATGTATATGTCTGATTGGCAGCATAAGATAGATTTATTAATAAACTCAATATCAAAATCGTAACAAATCCATGCTCTAAAGAACATAACCCTTTCCAATTTATTAGAGGCATTTTAGTAAAGAGCTCTGAGCTCGTGAACTTTTTAACTAATGAAAAGGGACGTTCACTAGTATAGAATCTAATGAAAGAGATACAAGAAGAACTCGTATTCTCTAAATTTTTTACAGAATCAAAAATTCAGTCTTGATATAGGCAGATTTGAGAACACAGAAATGTGTTAGTTTTTTTTGAATGAGGATACAACTGGTAAGACAAGAAGCATGGTAACCTGCAACGACATCATTTAGAAAACAAATTCATCCATATTTAAGAATCGTCTTATGCGGTAATTAAGTTTTTAAAAAAAATCCAATAATGAGTGTTTTTTAAATTAGTAACACATAAATAACAACGGAGAAATTCCTTCTTTAATCCATAGCCATTGGAGATTATAGAGTGCAATATTCAGCCATATTAAAAATTAACAAATTGAGGTTTCTTAAAAATTTCAATGAGAGTAAGTCGTATAATCATGTGAATAAGTGAAAAAAAAAATTAGCAAGAAAATTACGGATGTTACTTAAAGATAATAAAAAAATAATAATATTCTTCTATGTTAATTAATGCATCTACCAATATAACCCTGCATAAAATTTCTAAATTGGTCAGATCTAAGGTGGCGTAAAGTAATTTATTCTAATACAAGAATACAGATATAGTTAGAATATCTCATTTGAAATTCTTAAGGAAACCAATTTGGAAATTAAAAATCATTCGTCATTTTTGAACTATTGTTAACGTCGATCTCTTGAACTTTTTTTTTTTTTTTTTTTTTTTTGAATTCTATAAATCCATAGAATTCAAATCGAAGAGGTTTTATCAGATTCAA